TTATTACAAATATTTAAAGATATTAATATTAATATTATTGAATCTTATTCGATAGTGATAGTTTGTAATAACATACTAATGTTGGTTTAAATATATACACCCATATATAGTCATTAATACATATATAGTCAATCGGATCATATTTATCTATTTAATAACAAAATAATTGACTAACTTATTCCATTCCTATCTGATCTCACATGTGACTGATAATGTGATATATATATATATATATATATATATATATATATATATATAAGTAAACAGATAGGGGTTTTATAATAACTGACTGAAATATAACATCAGATCAAATTACGAAATTAGTGTATATATATATATATATATATATATATATATATATATATATATATATATATATATATATATATATATATATATATATATATATATAAAATAACGTATATTCTTCTCATGTTCTTTTAATTATTCAGTTTGGTATGAAGACAATTATTTACTTTATAACAAACGTATAAAGAAATAAAAATCATTCAAATCAAATGTGATCTTATTTCTTTTACTTGATTTAAGATCTAGATCTATATTTATTCTAAATAAGTTCAATTTCATTGGTAAATAAGTCTAGCATATGTGTAGTTTTATTAAAAGTATCATTAATGACTTAACTTATTATTCCAGTGTATCATATATAGTTTATTCTATATTAAATGATGTAATAAAATTTACACAAAATGTGGATAGGTTTATGAAGCATATGATAAGATTATGATCATCTCAATTAATTGAGCATACAATATTTTGAAGAACTTATTATTTTGGGCTATTAAAATCATATAAGTTGTAATAATAATAGTAAGTATATACTAATGTAATATTAATCACTTTAATTATTACTTACTTACTTAAGCCTGTTACTCCTTGTGAAGGAGCATAGGCCAAACACCAGCATTCTACATCCAACCCTGTCCCGGGCAATTCTTTCCAGCTCCTTCCAGTTGTTATTCATATCAGCTTCTATTTCTCAAAATAATGTGTTCTTTGACCTTCCTCTTTTCTGCTTCCCCTCAAGATTCCAAGTTGGGGCTTGACTCGTGATGCAGTTTGATGATTTGCGTAATGTATGTCCTATCCATTTTCATCGTCTTTTCCTAATTTCTTCTTCATCTGGAAGCTGGTTTGTTCTCTCCTGGAGAAGGTTGTTGCTGATGGTATCCGGCCAATGACTTTAATTATAGTCGTTTATATGATACAGTAGGGAGTGGTAGGATCGAGAATAATTTTTCAACCTATTCGGGGACCATTGGGTGGATGGATGGATGTGCACCACAGTGTTAATGTTTTGATTGAAAGTTTAACGAATCACTTTACCTCTTCACCGGATAAAAAATCATCCTCTAAACTATTGAGTCACAATAGCTCTCACCTCTTCAAAAAGTATGGGGTTAGCTGTAATGATTAGAAATATTTTCTAATTAATATTCATGACTAAATTTCACCAGTCGTTGTTATATAGGTTCCTTAAAAGTATACCTTGGTGTTTTCTGGATTTACCAATTGATTATAATTTGGAAAATCGATAACAGTCAAATCCATGTTAGACGTTTAGTTCTATTCAAATAATCCTATAATGTTTGAAGTGATAGCTTCAGGCCTTCAGTTTTAACAGGAATATAAACACTGGGACGTATGTACATCCAGCTAACAATTCGTGAATATGGGATATTTGAATTTAAAACATAATAAACTAATCAATTTTGATGTTACTGAGACATGTTCAGGAAATTTAAGAAACAAAAACGGATCAAACAAATGCCAACAACCCTTAGTTACTGATTTCTCACTAATTTATCAAACATTGTGTCCCATTACTGTGTAGAACTTAAACCATATATATGATCAGATTTTACTGAGTACACCTGCAGTATTAACAAATTTTCCATAGCTAATCGATTTCATTCAGAATTAGGTGAAAGAAGTAAACAAACTAATTTATTAATCAGACTATCTTAATAAATAGTTTGATTGAAATTCTAAAACTGTTCGTTCTCTTTTTATTGAATTAAGCTGTTTGTAAAAATTGTACTTAATTTTACAATAGTTCTCACCAAGAATTGACATTCAATAAAGATTCATCGAAAATGAAGAGTATCAAACAACCACGTTGGTGGGATCTGCAACGAGCAAATTGTTATTTGGTTGAAAGTGAAGAAAAGGTCGGAGAATATGAACACAGTGACCTCAAGTGTTGGGAAAAGTATGAGATTCGTTGTCACTTCATGTTCCTCTACGCTGTGGAAGAATATCTCTTGAGAAAACACTTTAAAAAGTAACAGGATCAGTAGTGGTTTAATTAACCTAAGGGCGTGACCGCAGAGCACAAGTGGACATCATTTGAGACCTGTTATATACGACCTTTTTGTGAGTAGTTTTGGTGCATTAGCTCCGTGTTTTTTAAACCTTACTACTGGTGAAAGATATCCGTGTCACAAGTTGAAATGTATTATTGTTACAGCTGAACATTTCAAACCCATTCATTCTGTTGTAGAAAGGCGGGATCGTTACAGATGCTGGTTGTTTAATGGGAAGAACTTACTATAGTCACACTCTGTACAGTTTGCAGTATGACTTCGCCTTCGAACGTAAATTTGTTGCTTTTAATCTTACCTTTCTCGTAATCCACCTGCATAGCATAGTAGGGAGTACATGAAAGAAGGTTATGGCTAATGTAAGTCAACTGAATTATCACAAAATGCAAGCTCACTTCAAGGTAGCAGTATAATTAAGCTATTCAATAACTAGCATATCCAACTTTACTCTATTCGTGATATAGTGAAATCATAATTCAATCAATATGATTATTATTTATATTCAGAAATTATACATCTTTACAAGAAATTTTGAAAATCTAAATTTTTCAGCTGATCACCAAAAAAAATTATTTATTCATTATCTAATCAGATGATTAGTACCAATTTTGTACTAAATTAAGGTATATTTGATCGGAGACTATTATTATGTACTTAATATATGTCTATCAAACTAAACAAAAAATCGATCCAATGATTATATTTCATGTAAACAATGGACGGACTTATAAAGATAATAAAATATTATGCAAATAATAAGGACTACTTGTATAAATATCATTAATCAATTAGAAAATGTAATTTATAAAAAGATACAAATCAGAACTTCTACGTGTAAAATTTATCTGTGATTTTTTTTGTAGAGGAATAAAAGATAGAAAACTTATTACAATAAGAGTCGACTAATATCTATGTGTACTACTATAATAATCAATTATTCTTCTATATTAATAAGAATGTTAGAGAAAAAGAGAAATTAATTCTAAACTAGCCTTATAGGATACTGAGTAATCTGACAGTTGTACCTGTTTCATTGTTAGGATTATTTTTATTTATGTTAGATATTTACCATCTAAGAAATCTATGGTATGATGATGCAGTCCTATATATAATATGAACTATATTACTCAGACTGATACAATCAAAATTCATATAAAATATTTCATTATTTTGTTTATGTATTGTGGAGACAGAAGCCGATTACACAGGTATCATCAACAACAATTAAGAAAACTAGATGTTATTTTCTTAAACAGTAACAATCAATCAGAATCTATTGTGTTAATGTTTGGCAAACTTAATATTACCCTTTTCAATCTTATTAATGAATGATCAGTAAATTACTTGGTCTATTTATAGTGATAGTGCTAAGTAAAAATGTTAACATAGAAAAAAAGTACCCAGCATTACACTCAAGAAACTCATTGATTTGACACACTTTAGTGAGTACATACAATTTTCAGTTATCTAATCTATATAAACCGTAAATTATTCAACAAGCATTATCAGATCATAGTATAGAGATGATAAATTGGCAAAGCCACAAATTAATAACAAATATTAACGTGACTTTGATGCCCGATATCACTTGTGACTACTGATGCTTCTCTCAATTTTAAGGTAGAATAATGGTGAAATAAATAGTTAAATGGCATGCTGTGAAAGCCATATATATATTTGCTGTTTGAAATTTACATTGAAACATAATAAAATCACCACAGAAACGAATTATTTAAAAGCAATATATGTATTAAACAATTACGCAACGCATACAGATCGTGTAATCTAAACTAAGATCCACGAACAATGTTTATATGAAAAAAAGAGAAAGACAGGAGTATAACAGAAAAAGATATTAACAATTGATGATGGCGACGATGAGCTGTGTATGGATCTGAAAGAAATATTTCCCACCATCTTTATTCAAAAACAGTCGTCAGTTAACACATGAAATTTCTTATTCTCAGGAAAAGAGATACAGTTACAACAATAATTGAGATAGAATATTTCGCATCACATAATTGTGCACATCATAAGTAACTTTATATTCTTTTTTGCAAAAACTATCTGACAAAAATTAAGAATAATTTGATTCTCATATTAAGTGGTGGACTATAAATAGTGATTTGTAACATCATTACTGACATTATATTTGCATAGATAATAAAATTAGTAGAGAATTTCTGTTCAACCTCATTAACCAAATGAGTTTTGTTTTTAAAACATTTATAAAATGTCTACGAATTTAACAGTTTTTTAAGGTTGTAGTTTACTCCTATCTATAGGAATAATTTTTTATCAATAAATAATTCTAATCTCAGGGACTGCATAAATGTTCGCATATTAAGTTTTCAGCCATACATGACGAATGCCCTAATAGTACTACAATTCGGACGTCCAAATATCAGAATATGGAGATGGTTTCAAATGCACAACTAAATGGAAGTAACGGGTCTTAAACAAAATCCAAAACTTAAATGAATCAAAATAAAAAATCAGTTTGGTAAACACCCATGTTTTACTTCGTTGATATGTCAACACTATAGTAACCAAAACAAATACAACACACACCTGAACTAGTCTGTTAAATTTATGCGTTTACACAGATTCAACATTACAATCATTCCATTAATTTTATAGAAATCCAAAACAAATTTAGAATTCAATTTTGTTGGTATACATTACACGACAAATATGATTTTTCTTTTTTAAAAAAAGAAGGAAAAGAAAATTTATGTATATTGAGCAAACATATTAATTTAAATCTGGTAAAAAGTAAAACCATGATAAGTATTAATCAATAATAAGAAGGAATTCTTCCAGAGTAGAAATTCCAAATACACATTTTTTCATAATGTTAATAATAATGAGAACAACCGTAGGAAGAAATAGTACAGAAATGAGTATACTTTAGATTATCTGTAGAGAAGAAGTAAAAAGGACAGGGCACGGAAACAATGATGAAAATGAATAATGGTGGTATCATTGTGAAGCCACTTGAACATACATGAACACACGCACGCATCAACACAAATACATACGTTTACAAAGTGTAATTCCAATAAAAAGATATCAAACAGTTTGTACCTCTTTTATCTTTCATTTATTTATAATCATCGGCTTTCAAAAAGTCATTGTTATTGAAGATAAAGAAAATGTGTATTGGAATCACTAAAGAACAAATAATCAATATACATCGGAAAGATAGTCATCCATACAAAGGAGATAGATGTTGAGTGAAAAAATCATTCCGAACACTATATATATAATTGTTATTAAATCTCTGCGCCTATATAGAAAAGACATTACATGAGTGAGAAGTAGTTAATATAGGATTAGTAGTAGGGATAGTGATTACAAAAAAGACTGTATATTTATAGTATAGCATAAAAATTACAATATACTGTGCAATAACAATCATTATCATCATTTGTAAAATTTATCTGTCACGAGGGACAAAAAGGAAAACATTTCGCAGTAAAGAAAATGGAAATGTTAACAAGACATTTGAATAGAATAAGTGTTGTATAAATTGATCCAGTAAAAAAAACACATCGAATATCTCACCTAATTTTAATATGGGTGTTTCTTTGCATTTTCTGTTCCATGTAATAAACAATATGAAGTTAATTATTTACTGTTGCTATTATTACTGGTGCTGAGATTTGCTATTGAACACCCCAGTCTGCCAGAGTATAATTATCACAATTACCAGAAGTATGCCACCGACAACGCCAACAATAATTAATTTCATACGAAAATTTTCCCACCAAGTTTTTCGGGCCACCTTTGTAGCGGTTGTTTGGAATTGATTAGCCTGAAGAAAAACGAATTTGAATAACTTTCGTGAGTTTATACATAAAATATAAAAATAAATCATTAATCTTTTCTTCGAGTTGAACATGGCCTTATCAGCTTTGATAATAGTTGTAAGACATGACAATTTTCTATTGAGGTTATCTAGAAACAGTGGGTAACTGAAGAGTAGTTCAAGACCAGTTGGATTTTTACTGTGTTTTGTGGAATGAGAGCGGATTACGGATTACGGTTCGCCTTTTTCTATGAAACAGTTCCACTAACAAATAAAGGCCCCACAATGTCCAAGTACTATTTTCCTCACAATTCACAGAACTGTCGAATCATTGACTAGTTGAACAGTTCTAATACAAAAAGCATAGTATGCAATATGAAAGCGAATATTGCCTTATCTATAAAAAATGTTCTTTGAATAAATTATAACCTCAAAGGAGAACGATAAAAACGAAACTAGAATACACAAGGCATAACAAATTTCTATATTATTATGAGCAAAAGAAGAGAAATCTACATATAAATGAATGTATAGAACAATAGCCGTAGCATACGACCCTGTAGTAAATTTCAGAAGAAATCGGTTGCGAAGGAAAACAAAATGCGTTGCCTTGACAGAACAACTTACAATGCGAAGAGAAAAAGGTTGTATACTAACAGAAAGACATAGTGTGTATGTGTGAGAGAGGGAGTAATCGATCGAGAAAAACAATAAACAAAGTAAATTAATATCTGCAAGTATTGCTTTTTTGTTTATACATTTACAAGCATTAAAGTAGGAAGTAAATGTTACAACCTACATTTCTGTACAGATAATAGTTAACTTGTGTCAAAAATGAAATAAAAGTGCAAGCATTGTATATATATTGAGATAAATTCATTAGTTGGATTACAGAAGGATAATTGACGTATAAAATTGGGAGAGAAGATTTGTAGATCAGGTGAAATTTCGTTTTTTTTTAAATTAAATGATTTCACCATGAAGCTTTCATAGTTCTTCTGGACATTTCCAACATAAACTAGCTGAAGTTTATGTTGATGATGTTGTTTAGAAGAACAACGAATGCTTCAAGGTTCAATTATCCAACTCAAAGGATGAAACTACGCGAAAACCAAAAGCCAATCGATGATTAATAAGAATGACAAAACAGAAATTTATAGAACTAACTTTTAATAAACTTAATAACCTGAATTATGATAACGAAACTTTTGAAGGCAATTTTACAGGTAAAAATATGATTGATTGACTGGAATCTATAAGATATTCAACTCCCTTATCTGATATTGTTCAAATTGAATAAATAAACTGTTTATGATCCAATATTTCAGTTAAGTAAAGTACATAAAAACACATTGAAAATACAGACACAGGTTTAATAAGTACAGGTTGACAACCATCGATAAGTTTAAATTTTAGGTGACTAAACGACTCGACATTACGAAAGCGAGTAATATGTTATGTAATTTATAACTCTAAAAAGTCGAAATACAACACCAAAAAAAAGTTGCATAAAAACCCTTACATTATATATATATATATATATATATATATATATATATATATATATATATCTTTAAAACGAGTTATTATCCATAGATATTCTTAGTTCATTTAATGATTCTGCATAAGTTGATACGTGATTTTTAATTTAAAGACACTAACTTAGCGACTTTTCAAAATATTATTTAATTTACTTATTCTCCTTAAGATGACTTCAGTTATACTTCAGTTATACTAGTTTTGATATTTGCTTTTCGTTTTGTATCTTGAAAACAATATACCGGTTATTTAAAACGTTAACTGATACAACAGGATAAGATACAAAATCAAAGTTGGTTTAACATATTGAATAGGAATAGCAATACTATACCTTTCAGCCAACAACCTAGTGAGTCAACGTCTTGGTAAAACTGAACTATACTGACGACCTTAAATAGATCAAGACTTATGATAACCCATATCCGACTTCTGCACAAAAATCAAACTAAGCAAACCTTACCGATATCTAGTTCCCAAAATATTTAAAATCGATGGAAAAAGTATTCTTATGAAACCACATAATAGATGTGACATAGTATGTAAACTTAATTCAGAGAAATACCCGCAGCTAATGCAGATTGTATCTAAGGGATGTAATTTTGGATATAGTCAAGAGTGTTCATGTGATCGTATTTTCTCACTCCAACTCCTAAACTTCTCTCTAAACAATAGGATGATACCATAATTTATGGACGAAGTAATTAGGCATTAGATAGCACCTCTTGAATATATGCGCGAAATTCATTCATCCATATTGTTATAAAGCACTCGCATTATAGCTGTATCACTTTGCAATTAAAAACCTCATAACCCTAGCCCAAATTCCTAATACATAACCCTTATCCTTCTTCGTTTACTATAATAATTTAACACATAAAGGTTCATTGATCATGTCAGAACTATTTATCTACTATAATTTTATTTATGACTTCTTATTGTTAAGTATTTTCTAACTAAACAATTTCCTGATTGGATAATAAGTCACCTAAGATCCCCAGTATAGTAAGTTTTACCAACGTTTCTTCTTTAAATAGTGACAAAATTAGAGTACACTGATGCTGATCACTTACTTAACTTGATCGGATTTATGACAAGTAGTCTACTGAGTTACATTGCTAACAAGGAATCAATACCTTAGTATGCTTAGTGGCAATTCCTCAAACAAAAACGCAAGTCGTTTGATAAACAACTTCCCAGTAGTGTTAACACTAATAGAGTGCGAAAACGACAAGTCATTTTGATGTTAACAAGATCGTTAAAGGTGATCACAAATTCGGATTCAATGTAGAACAGTGACTGTATGAACCATTCACCTTTTGTACTTTATTTAGGTAATTAACCGTGAACCAAGCTATTTGTGTGAAGGCAAGTAAAACTGTGGCGTGGGTTACTTATATCCACACAAGTAGTATATAACGGTGGTCAGGCATAGAATGTATTTCAGTAGAAGCTCGATGAGGAAAGAACGGGAACGGAAATATGAAATATGAGACAATGGATTGATGTTTGCAACAGGAACAGTCAAGTTTGAGTTGATGGATTGGTATATTGCAAACTAACGATTTACTATATGGTTCTCAAATTTTATTGAGATACATCCGACTGTCCCCACTGGTGTTCTGTTCACTACAATACTACCTGGGTGCCAAAATCAAAGTAAATGCAATGGGGTGTGAACCTCTGATCTATAGTACGAAAGACAAATGCTTCGACCATTAATTCACTACTTCATAAGACGCTGGTCGGCTGAATACTGTTTGAATTAGTGTATCCTGGGTTATAATAAGAATATGGTTGGATTTTAAAGTCAAGTCCAGGTCACATCTGAGATATAAGTTTTTCTATGGATAGAATGTCACAAGCAAATGCTTATGGTATGAAACAATTTTTCAGAGAAAATTAATTATCATAATAATTTGAATATAAATGTATAAGCCAAAATTAAAGCCGAAAATAATACAAAACATTATATAATTGCAAACACTCACGCTGGCTGCAAGTTCATCTGTTTTACTGACCAAATTGTTTAACCGGTCACCTCGTTGAAGCGCTAGTCTAGTATTCTCTTGCATTACAGCTGTTACAGTATTCACATTATTACGTAACTGGTCCAACGAATCATTTCCCTTAGAAGAGTTGGGTGATTCCTGAAAAATACAGTAAATATGGGAAAAATGATGTTGCACACAATAGTCAGTTAGAAAGAACAACGATAATATCAATACGAGTAAACATGAAATGAATTTTACAGTTAGAGCTATTTACTGTTTAGCTATTAAAATGTAATTACAAAAGTAGTTGGAATATATGGATTCGTTATTATGAAGTACTTTTGCATCATATTCAACAAACTGTGATAATAGCCAGAGACATAAACTTGATTACTCTAGAATAGGTAAGTAGTTAATTTGAAATAACTATTGTAATTAAAAAGGTTGGCAGTATAAATGCAATTCAGATTGGAGACAGAATCCAAATTAATTTTGATAAAGAGAAAGACGGATCAACAGACATGGGAATGATACGAATAAGTGACCAAAAAGACATTTTACTATCTAGTACAAAATAAGGGAATCTGTTTCCTTTGAAAATCAGTTTCATCAGAGATGTTACGACTACACAAGGCTTCTGTACTTAGACTGGTGATAATAGGAAATCTGCTTTTCTATGGACAAAGCAGTGTTTAGTTGACTAAATTTCTTAACTTTAGACCAACAGGTTGAACGGTTCAATCTCCCTTTACATACTTCACTTCAAATAACTAGGTGGTAGTGTTATTAGCCTTCGCCCGAAATATGGCCTGAAACTAAGTAAACGAATTTGCACTCGATTATTGAGTTCTGTTAAGAAGAATTAATTTGAACGGCCAGGCTCAAAGTATACAGACTAGGTGCTCTGTTCTACAAACTTGAGGAAGCAAATAGAAAAAGGACTGAAAATTGAGTGGTAAGTATTTTTGGAGTTTATTTTGTGTTTAATAAGACAGCTGGGTAAGATATGTTAAGCTTCGGTGTAGAATGCTGATGGATGAAATTATGGGACCATAAAGAGGGATGGAAGTGGTTAGAATGTTCTAGGAATAGTCGACTTTCAAGGAAAAAGTCTTCTAGATGAGGTGACACTGATTCATCTATTTTTTGTTTTCCTATTTATACCTTAGTTCTTGGCCTTCAAATCGCGAGAAATGCAACTAGTAACCATCATTTACTTGTCTTTACTTATTCTACATATTCTGCGTATCTCTCTCCGATTTGATTTATCCATGTGTTTTTTTAACTGGCTGATAGATTGGGTCGATTTCTATGAGTTTGTTGATTGCTGACTGACTCGAGTGCCAAGCCTCTCACAAATTCTTTGGTATTCTTAGTATTTTCTCTATCCAGATCTCAACATTTTTATAATCGAACGAAAGGTACACAGATCGCGTTATCAATAGTAGAACTTATTGCAGAAGCAGTGATGCAGAGACGAAAAGACTCGATTTTACTGGTGATCAAACCAAAATGTGGATTCGTTATGTCGGCTACGTATTCGTCATCATCAAAAGCGATGTGATAGAAAACAACTACAATCTGGTCAAAATCGTCTTCGATGACATAAAATCTACAATGGAAAAGGAGTCGAACAACAAATTATCATTATTCGACGCACTGATTATCAGAACCGACACAAGAAAACTGGAGACTCAAGTATATGGGAAGCCAACCCACATAGATCAAATTCTCAACTACAGCAGTAACAACTCAAAAACTCAGAAGATCAATTACGTACAAAGTTTATTCAAGAGGGCAAGTACACACTGCAGCACACTTTCAGCAGAAAAAAAAGAAAATATCTGGTGACCATCCACCAAAATAACGGTTACCCACACAAGTTCATCAAGAAATGTTAACCCAACTTATTACCAGAAACGAAATCAAATACAGAAATCAGCAAACGGATAATCCTACCATATATAAAGGACATATCCGAAATTAAAACGAGATTATTGAAGCTGCTTGGAATAGGTCGAGAACATAAACCGGTAAAATTACTTTAACTAACCCTATGCAAATCAGAGGACGAAGGGACAAAAGTAAAACCAAACATCATCTACAAAACAAACTGTTCCAATAGCAAAAAACACTACATCGGACAAAGTGGACGTCCCTTTATCTTCGACTGCATAGACACCCATTAGCGGTCAAACAGCATAATATATCCTCGCTTACATCAATGCATGTGGACAACGGTGGACACATTCGACGTCATTAAGTAAAGAATATGGTATTCAGCAATTAAAAGCAGATGATGTATCAATGCAGTCATGTACTCTCCTTTAAGATAAATAATAGGGTTTGAAAAACTATGAGGTTTCAAAGCGGCCAAAGAAAATCTATGTGCCATCTGATTGTGTTTCAGATAGACAAACAGATCAATGAGACGAGGTTAGTAGTAAAAGTACTCGGGAATATTTGATATAGCTTTCAGCACAAAAAGCATTCCATACAAAGGAATTGAAAATATTATAGGGAAAAAGAAGTGAGAAGTCACACAATTCATAAATATTAAAAACAGTATTCAATCAAAGAAAACGTTTGGTCAAAAATCTAGCCAAAAACGATTCCCCTCAGTTCACGAACTATAACTGAATAGCCACTGACTCTGAGTAACACCTGATAACTTCTCCACGATCACCAAGACTCTCACCGGGAAGTCGTAGTGGACTGATAGTTTCAAGTCCTGTATCATTATTTTTCGTACCAGAGTTATATCACAATCGATAGATACAGGATATTGAACAACTAAAAGTATGATTACGATTCTTTACCACATAAACGAGATTAAACCATTTGAGGCGATGTCAAAACATCAAGAAAAAAATCTTAGAATAACTTTGAAAGCTAAAAGATAGATGACTATCTCTGAAATTTTCAGACGTCTTAGTAATTTAGATTTGTGAAACAAGCCACAGACCAACATTTCCAGATATTAGGGAGTTGTTCAGTTAAAACACATACAATTCTTTCAGTGTATTATACATCAACCATAACTTCTTAAAAGATGACAATCAGAAATGATACAATATAACTTACCATCAAATCTTCCAAGTTTAGATTATAAGACTGTTGTAAACAATCTTTACCACCACTTTTAGCCCTTTGAAATCTTGTACCATCGCTTAAAAAATTGCGAGAAACCTGAAAATTACAGTGTTGAAAAACAAAATTAGACCTCATTATTATTACGGAGCTAAGTCGCTTTAGGGATTTTTGATAAACATGTGGTAATTGAAGGGAGAAGCTGAAGGGAAATCTAATGCACCTATCAATCATGGTTCCAAAATCGACAGGAAACTGAGAATTAATAATATTGCCGATTATTATCAGTCGAGCGTTTATAGTGGGAATGATGTTACTTCACAATCTCAAGTTGGAAACTCTCTCAAACTAATAGCCTTGAAGAACCGAAATTTATATCGCACTATTCTGTGAACTGGATTCAATCACAACATCGAGTGAGCTACTCAACTGTTCATATTCGAGTATCAGTCTACCTGGTTCATCTAGTGAATAAGTTGGTTTTGAATTACATCAAACAGAACCAATATTTGCGAGGTCACAAAAATATAGACTTTATCATCACACTTGTTAGTAGGATTTTAGATTTTCTGCGTATAAATAAGAATTTAACGTTAGACATGAATTATAAGGGCGAAATTACATACGACATACAGAGAACTGGAACGTCCACATGATACTTGGATCCCAAAAGCCTCAATTGTACCATGAATGTAATAGTATTCCTCGTTAGAGCGAACCTTGGACCTTTTAGGTCAACAACATTCATTCAATCATATTAAGATTGGTGACATTTCTTAACGGATTCGTATGGACAACGCGTGTAAAAGTGCCTTCCGAGTTGCATATTGATTTCTGGTGATGTTTGCACTATTCTTCCACAATCTACAGCGTTTGGAGATTAATTTCATATCAACACTATGGAACATATGAACCCCCAAGAAAAATTAACCCCCTTGGGTTAAATGCGTACGAAAATACAGATAGGTAGTCTGGCTGTTTTGCGCAGTTCCACATACACACCAATCACATATTATTTTCGAGATTGAATAATTAAATACCATTATGTTAACTGAGCAAAAAAATTACAAAAACTAAGTTCATTTGTGAACAGACTAACCTCTACAACCAAGTTCCGGAATTTTTGTCGAGAAGCATTTCGATCGGTTACTGCGATAAAGGAAAGTCCCGAAACGGTCAGGCAGTGAAGAGAGAAACTAGAGTGAAAATAAAATCAAGACTGAAGCACTTACTCCCCTTCGCTGTAGTATATATCTTGATCTGGAGGATTACATAATAGATATTTAAGTACCACATCCTCAAAGCTACGTTTTGCGAACGACCGATGCCAAACGATATGTTTCTCGTTTGTTATAGCAAAGTAGCGTAGATCCATTGTTCAGAAAACAGACAATTGAGTCGTCATTTTAAACTGTGCACCTATCTAGACTGCGCGCTGTTGGAAGCGCAAATAGTGCAAACGAAATATGCTTCAGCCTTCAATCTTAAAATTATGAATGCAGCTGTAAAGAAACTTGTTTGAGGGGTAACTAAAAAAACTGAGCTCTTATGCTAACGGTTAAAAGTTGCATATCTTTCAAACTTATGAAGACGGATTTGAACCTCAATTATCACTCGTAAATATTTTAGATTGCTTAGTTCTGATCATCTTAATATTCACGCTCTATCTAAAGTAAACAGTATACTCTTGCATTAAGCCTATAATTGCTCGTACAGGAATTACTCAGAGGAAAATACTCGAGGTGTGAAAACATGCTTCATACAGCAAACTGTGGTTTATTTACAATCGACTCATTAGAAAACACGTTCGATGATGTCAGTTGTTATCTTAAATTCTGCTTTTCTGTTTTTTGTCCCACTGAAACCAGTTTCGTAGTTGAAAAGAAGAAGAAGTGATGTACGGGTGGAAAAATTCCGCTTAATTTCGAAAGCTGAATGGTCTAATAAACCAAGAAATTAAACGTCTGAACTCCGTGACTACTTAGAAGCGTCTGTCCCGTAAAATCACTTCTAACGTGCAAAAACTAGTTAAAGACCCTAAAAGTGGGCGATTCATTAGTGAAGAAGCCCATCTGAATGCTCATGTTTTGAATACATTTATTGTATGCCAATCTTTTGATATCATGCTTCTTGTATCCGCGAGTCCGAAGGCGAACTGATACCTGAAAGTGCCCCCAGTCCCTCGAATAATTCCAATGTTTACGATCTGACAAGAGACCAGGCATTCATAGTGAGAACTGTGTTGGCTTTTGTCCCATCTATTTATGGAGATCTTCAGCGGCCCCTCTGTAACTAACTTTTTACCAGAAATGTATAAAAAGACGAAGGTAATCTCAGTACCAAAGAAAGTATCAGGTTGAAAGATTGCTAAATTTATACCCTTAACAGTAACCTCGACTTTTCTCACTTCATGTTCAACGTGAATTGAAAGAGAATATTGATCAATACCAAGTTGCTCACAAATGCAAGACACGTACCTCGGATACTTCTATTATTCTGTATAACAGTGTAGTCTTCATTTTAAAAAGTGGTAAGAGATACGTTAAATGCACATTTCACGGCTAAACGTCTGAATTTGACTTTATTTGATGAATACTACCAAGCAGGCTCACCAGTGTCAACTGCGACAGCTGGATAATCGGCTGTATCTTTATCTCTATGGAAGAAAGCAGTATAATGTGCGTTGATGGCAGCGCTACAAAGAGCCGTTCTTGTCCTTTTTTCTGTGTAAGGTCCTCCGTCTTCTACAAAAACACTTGTGTCAAATGTATGGACGATCTCACTGTTTGCAAGCTAGTTTGTCTCTAAACACCACCTTGAAATGAATAAGTATTTATCCCTCATTCAATGATATTCTATTGTTAATAGTCCTATAAATAATCCTTCTGTATTTCAAATTGTTAATCTTAACCTGAGACATAAAAAGTACTTAAGAACTTTTCTGTGATCATGTAGAGTTCATACTGTTTGAGATTCCCTATTAAAATGTACCGAAGGTCACTCGTCTTAGTTTAGGCTTTTCTTACTATTTCTCACAAGTTGCTGTCATTAAAAAAAACTAATGAAACTGATAAAGTTTGACGGTACCGACTGAGGTATGAACTGATAAGAAAATGTATAGAAACTAACTGTGCTAGATGAAGGCAACTGCAGAAAAACAATACATCAATTATGAAAATAATTGTCTGTAAATTTATTGACTGATTGTGTCTTTGGCTATGCGGCATGTATCGACCATATTACGAGACTGTTAATTTGCAACAATGCTTTGTGGTGGCGTAAAAAATAACTGAGAATAACTATCTATGGAGTTAGTTCGGCATTAACTGATGAAAAGAATGTAGTTTCGTTCTCGAGTCTGAAAACTAAAGAGTTTTCGAAGCATGTCCCACTTTATTGATTCGGAGATGTCAGCAAATAAAAGTCTGAATAATGTTACATAGTAACCTGAAAATATTACAGCAACATCGAATAACCTCATAAAATGTAGTAGTATATGTATTCAATATACTTACTGATTACTCTAATTTTATTGCAAACCTTTGCCTGTGGCATAAATTCGAGGTGTCGGACCTCTCCGAGAGAATGCCTATCGACTCTAGCATTTAGTGCATTAGTTAGTGGTTTATGATTTCTATAAACTATGAATTCCCTGGTTCTAACGTGTGTCAGAATTGCCTGGTGGTTGTGTGCATTGATAGAAGTAATTGTCCGAAGGAAGCATATCTCTTCTCTTCTTGAATAGATATTTTTGCGAAGAACGCAATGGGTTACCAGGTGTTTCTAACAAATTATTTAAAATTACCGCTTGATTATTTGTCTAAAGCACCTACTATCAAGCAAGTGAATTTTCGGATACGTCAATGTAGATAATGATAATATTTTTGCCGGTAAAGGTACACGCTATTTTTACAGACAAATTACAACATTTATTAGCTCTCAGTATGTTTCCCTAGCAGGGTAGTTATGCAGATAAAATCAATAAAAGTGAGAAACAGTACATTCGTACACATGTCTTGAGGCGTTAATGATTAGGTTTACGCTTTGGCTTCACCCTGAGTAAAGTTTTCAAAATATTCTCTAAAGTAGCATCGCGTCCACGTTACACTCCAGATTCAATCTTAGCGTAATTGTATTAGAATTCTGTTCGTGCCAAGTATTCATGCAATAAAACTTTTTAAGTTTCTAGTTGTTAGAAAGTAGACTTGTAGAGCGCTTGGTGTGAACTATGACCTTGGGAAAATACATACATTTAGTTTGTTCCAGATGTCAGAAGTTCCATAGCTGTGTCCTCAGAGCAAGACTGTGAAAATAAGACTAACAAAGGAGCAGCAAAGCGCCTGTATATGAACGATAAACAATGCTTAACATTTTGTAGTGGAACAGACGGAGGTACGATAAATTATCAGAATAAATTCATACTAGCTCCTGTAGCTAAAGCGAAATGTGACCAGCGGCTCCAGATGAGAGAATGCGATAATAAAGAACAATGAGTCGTGATATTTACCAAGGTGGAGTAGGTTCAAATGTTGAGAGGAAAGTCAGGGTTGGAATAAAGAAGGCTGCTTATTAGAACAGAAAGTGCGTATAGAGAGTAAAGTATTAAGAAAACTAATAACTATGTCCTTTATTTACTTGATATTGTTTTTACTTGAATCTTCCCATTGATGTTTTAGGACTGAAATTGATCAGTCTCTTATTGGCATATGTGCATACTGTGCGTATGCCTCGATATTGCCTTAATTTACAAGCATTATAAGCAAAGATGTGGTCCCAGAGTGAACATCAACTCTGAGATGCAGATACATCTAGCTGACGAGTCCCAAACAGGACAAAACGCGCGTCCTGGATTCCACTGCTAGCCACTATCCATCTTTGCCTGTATGCCCCTTATTTTCTGATATTTTTCATCCAATGTCTGCCACACAGTCTTAATGTAAAAGTCCGAGTTAGTATATTATAGGTTGTCTTAGTAGAACATCTAATCCAGCATAAAATTTGAAACACGAGTCTGAATGGTGAGTGTATATTAGATTGACTGACTTGTTCTAAAACATAAAGAGCCTGACACAAACAAAATGTTCTTCCCCACAAACATGAGTGGATTGAAGTCATCACCCCCACCATCAATGCTTGCTGAAAAGTAACTCAACCCTCCCTTCTTCTGTGATGCTAGTCTCATTTAAGCCTTTTCTGGATACATATCATACCTCACACGATGCCATGTGTTTCACGTCCTGTTGGAAAACAACATTTCCGTAAGAAACATTTCGCAAGCTTATCATGCAGTTACAAGTTATGGACTGTGGGTAAGGCATCGGTGGAATGCTTTGATTTACCATATTATAATGTATAGGTTGCCAATCGGAGTATAGACTATAGGAAAGGTATAATGTAGGATAGTTGTTTGACAAAGTAGGCAGAAAAGTACAGAAATATACGCGTTATAGATAATCTCATTTTCAGAGTCTTGCTCTGAGGACACAGCTATGGAACTTCTGACATCTGGAACAAACTAAATGTATGTGTTTTCCCAAGGTCATAGTTCACACCAAGCGCTCTACAAGTCTACTTTCTAACAACTAAAAACTTAAAAAGTTTTATTGCATGAATACTTGGCACGAACAGAATTCTAATACAATTATGCTAAGATTGAATCTGGTGCGTAACGTGGACGCGATGCCACTTTAGAGAATATTTTGAAGACTGCTCAGTATATCCGAAGGAATGGACTGATAATCACCTTTAATAATGCCAGTTTACAGGCAAGATCAAATTGTTACAAATGAGACGATATCCATTGTAGTAAATTACTCAGCTGGGTTGATAATTTAAAAGACGACGACTGCCACCTGGAATCCACATGCAGCCGAATAGTCCATATGAAGCTAGGACGAAACACAAAGGCAAATTGGAGCTGACCATTACACTTGTGGACTGTCTAGACGATAAAAAACGTGTAAAAGACAGGGCCTACAACCTCGGCAAACCTCATATAAGTGGGCTACCTGTCAATTCACGTAAGGCTCATACAGACAAACAGGAAGAAGCTCACATGTTCCAAATTGAATGCATCAACTGCTTATACATGAACGCCGTGAGTTTACCAAACAAACTGGATTAACTACGTGAACGTAGCAACGCTGTCTTTGTTCCGCAACGACAGAAAATCAGGAATTGAGGGCGGAGTAGTCGTTTACATACGTTCTTGCTTGGAGGTGCACCAAGTTCATAACCTCGAGTTTAACAATCTTAAGGAATCCATATGGTGCTCTGTAAGATTGTCAAGTACTTCGAGGTGTCTAGTCGGAGTCATTTACAGGAAGCAAACTGCCGACGTCGAGTACGATAGTCGTATGCTGGAAGGACTATCCC